TCCTTTCCTTTCCTTTCCTTTCCTTTCCTTTCCTTTCCTTTCCTTTCCTGTCCTGTCCTGTCCTGTCCTGTCCTGTCCTGTCCTGTCTCAATCCCTCACACCCCTATGATACTCTCTAGTGTCCATTCATCCTATGATACACTTTTGGATGGGTTGAAAGAAAGATCACCACTTTTTGGAGTTTATAATCTAATGTGAATGGTGGAAATCATTACTAATGTGCACATGATTATTAATGTATAAAATATCACTATTCTCTTAGACACTACATAGGATCTTCTGTTAAAGGGAGAGGTGCAGGCTAGGGATATGAAATTACGGTATCGGCATACTTGCTCCATATTGATTGTTTTTTTTTATTCTTGCAGGGGTAGGAGAAGGTAATGCTATAACAGTATTAAATAATATCCTTTGGTATTTTACCTTTTAATGGCTTGATTATTTTTTAATGCCATACCGCTGTCTTGAAAGTCAGAGTTCTGATAATCAGTTCTCAGGGAAGCATGTAAGAAAAAATGTAATTTGTTCAGCAGAGGCATAATCCTTACTCACACTCTGATCAGAAGAAAGCCACATCAGTACAGAATATCATCACACCGATCATTTCGATGACACACAGAAGCACCTGGTATATGTGGAGTGACTGCTTCTTTGTATGAGCTCACACCTGACATGAAGGTTAAAACACTGGTTGGTACACCAACAAGTAGAAAACATAATTTGGGCAGTTACAGCAGAGAACAACTGTGTACGTTTGAAGTAAAAGACTCATCAAAGTCCAGGCCTACCATTTAAAATTTCACAGTTGAATGTTTTCATTTTGTCCAGGTTTTCAAAACCCATATTGTATGTGATTTACATGGTGCTATTTTGCTGTTTTCAAATCTATGCAAATATAGTGGTGGGTGTAATAAATTCTTAATACATAATTTTAAACCATTTTGTGCTCCTTTTAGCTAATGTGTTAAAGGATAAAATGTGCATATAAATGTGTTTGTGAGAAAGGTGCTGTTAAGTAAAGAAACATTCACTAAAGGAATAATGTTGCAATTGGGAGATAATAATTTCCAATATGCTTTCTTTCACTGAAAATAAATATTACTTGACAGTACTGAATTGATGACAGTACCGAATATGCTGCTTTGAACTAATAAGTACTTTATTTACATAAAGAAACGTGGTTTTAGAGCTGTAGTTTTTGTTCTGTTTTGTTTTCTTTCTTATTTTGTTTCTTTCTTGCCAAGGTACTTCTCAGAAGGATGTTAAGTGTATGAACTAAAACACAAGGGATTATAAAAGATACAAACGAAACAAAGTATTCTGAAATACAATTATCCAAATATTATTAGGACATATTTGTGACAGAGCGATGTATGCTCTTGAATACCAATAAGATAACACGATCTAGCAGTGGGTTTAACAACAACTATAATTTCAAAGTAAAGATGAGCAATACTTCAAGACATCTGCAGAAAGGCTAATAGGACTACAAAATGTGTACCTTCTATTAGCGATGGAGTATAGGTTCTAATACTGCTGTGGTTTGTTGCCTACATTCATAATTAAAGAACATTCTGGAAATAAAGATACAATTTTGTATATATTACTAATCAAATTCACAAACCTCCTAGGTTCTGTTCGAAAGTAATAATATGACATTGGTTGACAGTGTTATGACAGTGTTAAGAGAACCCTGACAGTATATGACAGTGTTAAAGAACCCTGAGGAAGGGTGCCTGGGTGGCTCAGTCAGTTGAGCGTCCGACTTCCGGTCAGGTCATGATCTCATGGTTCATGGGTTCGAGCCCATCATCGGGCTCTGTGCTGACAGCTCGGAGCCTGCAGCGCCTGCTTCAGATTCTGTGTCTCCCTCTCTCTCTGCCCCTTCCCTGCTTGCTCTCTCTCTCTCTCTCAAAAATAAACATTAAAAAAAAAAAAAAGAACCCTGAAGATCTGCTAACCCAAACTTGTTTTCACAAAGAAATGACTGGAAGAATCCACAAAATCAGTTTTCATTTTTTACATTAGTAATAATTCAAATGGAAATGCAAATCAATACAAATTAATAAAATAGTCTAACAGCACAGGAGTTGTAAAGAATATGGTAAGCTGGAGCACAAAGGCTCTTTCTGAAAGAAATTGTATACGCATGCCAAAAAAAAAGTCTTAAAGTCCAAGTTGGGGCCACCAATTTGTGACCTCTGATAAAATGTGTAAAACCAAAAGACAGTTTTAAATATTTTATATTTTTGAAAGCTAGTAGCAAGTGTTATCTTCTGTCTTTATCACCCACACATATCGCTCTAGGTAAGCAGAAAATATTATCGCTGTTTCACAGGAGGAAAATACATGAAGAACAATCTCTGCCACATATCCAGTTAGAAAACCTAGACATAATAGCCAGTATTCTACTTTCCTCTAGAGAATAAATAATTCCCGAGACCCTGTGTTGGTAAGACATTTTTAGAAAAGAGAAGAGAAAAGAAGAGAAGGGAAGAGATCAAATTTTGTGTAGAGTAGGAGCAAACAGTAAAACTTAACTTGCAAATGAATGCATAAGATAATAAGTCCCTGTGTGCTGAGTTGTCTACTCTGTGCATTGTGCTCAATTCCTGACTGGTATATATTCCTAGCCTTCATAACGATTCTGCAGAGTAGGCCTTGGCATCAATATGAGACACCCAGACTTGTATGAGACAAGAAAAGGAGTTCAATTATGGAAATCCCAAAGTGCTCACTGTCACCATACAGGCAAAACATCATCATAACTGTTCTCTCCCACTCTCACTTCCATATGGGCCTAAGCTAAATCTTCTAAAACCAATGCTAAGACAGAAATAATAATTTAATCAGAATATTACTACCTCAGTTTTGGTAATTAAACATGCCACAAAACCTTTTGGCCTCTGTATCTGTTGACTTTAAGAATGTCAACTTGTACAGTACAGGTTATTTTTACCCAACGGATTTTTAAAATTGAAATTATGAAATCCATACTTTATGGAAGAGAGAAGCAAAAATACGGCAAAACTCAATTTCATATAAAATGTTTTATCATTATTTAGTCGATTGGAAATAAAATTAAAATCGATTTATCTAAGCATCAATATCAAGTAAGTATTAAAATCTTTAATTCTCTTAATGCACTATTGGGAAACTTGATGCTATTTTCACTCTTTTACGGAAACAAATATATATTGATAACATAGTTAATATATCATGTTGAATTGTCTTCACATTACATAGCTTTTCATTTTTTTTCAATTTTCAAATAGTTAAAATTAATGCTTTATTACATTCTATTGTCATTTAAATTCAAATTTTAATGATATATATTTTATTTGTGTTTGAAACTTCATAAATGAAAGTAGAAAACAAAATAAATTAATATTTACAAAGAAAACCCTGGGAAGTGTTAAATTTAAATGTTTATGTCACTGCAGATAAAAGCCATTTTTCTTTTATCTATACATCTTCTAATTTTCCATGAAAGCTTGTATTACTGTCATAATAAAAATTAAGCTTGTGTTAAAAAAATATGTTAGAATTTCTTGCACACTTTCTTATTGTGCCCACAGAAAAATCATAGTTTTTTATTTTCCATAAATGGAAAAAAGTTGTGCAGGACAATGGACCAGGGTGAAAGTAACTGAGATTTCACACAACGTGGTAGAGAAAGGCCTCTGTGACACGGTGACATCTGAGAAGCAACGGAACAAGAAACAGAGCCGTACAGGAAGCAGAGGGTTGGAAGAGGCATCTGGGCGAGAGAACAGAAGTTGTCAGAGAGGACGCATGCTTTCAAATAATATTTATCAGCACGTGTTATGTATGTATGTTATGTTTTTCACTGCTGTGAATGTACCAAACAACCAAAAGACATGATTCCTACCCTCCAGGAATTTTAACTTGAGTCAGGTGAGAAGTGTGAGAAACAGAAAAGAACTACAAAACAATTCAAAGTAATTTCTCTTATTTAAAAAACAGTCCATATCAATTAAAACCCGTCATCTATTCCACTTAATTTAGGGTATTAAAGATAGATTTTATATTTAGATGATACTAAAGCTTGCAATATATTCTCCTATAATTAAAAGCCATTGGCTGTTTGCATTTAAGTCTTTTTTAATGAGTCAGGATTAAGAGTCTATGCTTTGTCCATAGTTTTAATTTTTAAAACTACATTATATTTCCTTCCATGGTAATACAAAAATAGATCCTCTAACCGTAAATTACTTTTGACAAATCTTTCGGCAAACTCTAAAACATCAAAGCAACAAAGATGCAGGAGATTTAACATTTACAAAATGTTCTTTGGATCTTTTCAGATACTGCCATTATCTCTAAATTTTTAAATGTATTCTTTTAATAAATATTTTGCTGTTTCGCATTATGATGCCATGGCACTCCAGTTAACTTGATACCTATTCCTTTGTGTATGAACAGTTTCAATCATGTGCCAAATTTATTTCTGCTGCAAGTAAAGATCTATCCTTTTATGGACACATCTGTTAGATGGAATGTTTAGTTGATCAAAATGTATCCTGGAGAGCGTAATAGTATAATATTAAAGGGGCATGATGTCAAGCCAGTCCAGAAAAAGACCACATAAATATTAGACTAAAAAAGAACTTTGACTTGGGAGAAAGAAGAGAATAATTATTGGATTACTAAACATTTGTAAACCGATGGAATAAAAAGGTTAATAAACACCTTGTGGGAAATAAGTAGGTTCAATCCAGATCCCTTTCAAGTAGATAACTAATACACTCAGGTGTCCCTCCAACAGGAAATAATTGAAAGCGTACTGACAACTATGGGCTAAGCCTTTTGAATAAAATGTCTACAGTGAAAATCTATTAAGTTTCACATATTTATTCAACAAATACTTCAGGCATGAGGCTAGGAAAGACAATTATAAGTAGATTAGACATTATCTCTGCCCTCAAAAGGCCTATAATTTAGTAAGGTTATAATCAAGGAAGAACATTATTATAAGAATGCTCACTTTAGCAGCACACACACTAAAACTGGAATGATAGAAGATTACTATGGTCCCTGAGCAGGGACGATAGGCAAATTTGTGAACTGTTCACTATTTTAAAAAACTTGGCTCTAAAAAAGTGTTATAGAAATTAATATTAAAGGGCTTTGACATATATATGTATATATATATATAAAATGCATATATATACATACACACACACACACACACACACACACATACATAACATGATGTAGGATGCATTTTATGCTCTTCACAAGAAATCTGCTTTAATATAAATACACAGGTTAAACGTCAAAGAATGGAAATAAATTTACCATCCAAACACTAATTAGAAAGGAAAATGTGAGGATGGCTATAATAAATAAGACTCGAAATAATACTTGTTGGTAAGGATGTGGAGAAACTGGAACCTTCATAGATTGTTGGAATGGAAAATGAGGCAGCTACTTTGGAAAACAGTGTAGCAATTTCTCATAAAGTTAAATACAGAGTCAGCACATGACCCAGCCATTCAGTTCCTAAGTATATGCCAAACAGAAATGGAAACATTTGTACATGAAATGCACAAGTATATTATTCATGAAGACCAAAAAGTGGAAACAGCCCAAAAGTCCACCAATAGATAAATGGATAAATCAATGTGGCATATCCAAATGGGGTAGGCAGAATAAAAGCCTCCAAATATGACCATGTCGTAATCCCTGGAACCTGTGAGTATGTTTCTTTACCTGGCAAAAGGGGCTTTCCAAAGATGTGTAAGTTAAGGGCTTTGAGACGGGAGGTTACCCTGAAAGATCAAGGTGTCCAGTGGAATCACAAAGCTCCTTAAAACTTGAGGAAGGAGACCGAAGAGTCAGTCACAGTAATTCCATGTGAGAACTCCACCTGCTTTTGTTGGCTTTGAAAATGGAGAGAGAGAGAGGGCCATAAAGCAAGGACTAGGGGACCAGGGGACATCTTGTTCCTTGGAACAAACAAGGAAATGAATTCTCCTCAGCTTCCAGACAGGAATGCAGCTTAGCCATCATCTTGATTTTAACAAAGTGAGGCTCATACTGAATTTCTAATCTGTAGAACTGATAGACAATACATTTATGTTGATTCAGGCCACTAAATCTGTTACATCAGCAATAGGAAACAAATATGCTATTCACTGGAATATCACCAAACTATGAAAATAAATAGGCATAGGTACCTGTTACACCATGGATGAAGATTGAAAACACTATGCTAAGTGAAACAAGCCAGTCACAAAGACCACATATTGTATGATTCTACTTATATGAAATGTCCAGAGTAAGCAAATTTATAGAAACAGAAAGTAGACTAGCAGTTGCTTAAAGTGAGTGTGGGGGTCTAGCAAGGACAGGGTTCACTGCTAATAAATAAATACAGGGATTCTTTGGGTAAACAGAGCCTTCTCCAATTAGATTATGGTATTGGCTTCACAACCCTATGTGTGAATGAATATACTAAAAAAAGCACTTTAAATGGATGAGCTGTATGATGTCTGAATTACATCTAATACTGTTTTCAACACAGAAAACAAAATGAACATTGGAGTGACTCTATTTAATATTAAACAAAGTTGACTTCAGAACAAAAACATTACCAGAGACAAAGAGGGACATTTTATAACAATAAATGGGCAGGTTACCAAGAAAACACAGCCATCCCAATTGCTGCATCAACAGAGTTTCAAATTACATGAAGCAAAAACTGATTGAAAAATAAAAGTAGTCAAATCCAGAATTGTAGCTGACGATTTCAAGTCTCCTCTCTACCTGCTAGGTCCGTTTGCTGAAAAGAGCCGAAAGCAGTGAAACTCTAGTAGAAAAAAAAAAAAAAAGCAAAAACAAAAACAAACACAAACAAAAACAAAAAACACACACGCCTAGCACTGAGATCTTGATTTCAAAATACCATCTCCAATAAAGGGAACCAGGGCTCCTTGAAAAAAATGGCTGATTCTGGGGCTGGGACATGAAAAGTAAAAGACAAACGTAGAGTGCCAGACTGCAAGAAAGCATTCAAAGATTCATGGGGACATATCAAAACGACACTGGAGTCAGCTTGAAAAGACTACCACTGGCCTAGTGTGAGATGGTAGAGGCAAATAAATCATTATAGTGATGAGTTACAACCCACATAACAAAATAGGAATCCATGAGTCCATACTAATAAAAATAAATGTGAGAAAGTATCTCTTCATGAAATACTTATTAATTATAAGCAGTATCTCGTGAGAAAACTAAATGAATAGATAAGAAAGAAAAACTCTTCCTTAGGACAGAATTCCACTAATAAAGAGACACAAAATAAATTAGAAAATCACTATTTGGCAACCACTATAGTAAGCATTTTTCAGGCAAGGACCACAAATAGAGGTTAAAACTAGCAGGCAAGACTCTAAAAGTATCTCTTTATGAAGCACTTATTAATTATAAACAGTGAATTAATAACTTTATAGTAAAGAAAAATGGTAGTTGCCACCTTAGCCAAGTGACGTCAAAGTTAATAAATATCACCAGTAACTGGCCCAACTTGACAACGTCTGCCTACTGGCAGGATGTGCTGAGGACACATCTGTGGTATTTCTGCCAACAATGCATGGCCTGAATCAAATCCTGAGGAAACATCAAACTGTGGGATTTTCAGAAAAATACTCAGCCTGTACTTTTCAAAAACATGATTGATGCAAAAGACAAAGGAACAAGAAAATGTTGCAGAAAACGCACATGAAAAAGACAGGAAAACTAAATGCAATGTGTGATCCTGGATTGGATCCTTGACCAGCAATAAATAAATAAATAAAAGCACGCTTTGACATTAAGGGCATTAATGAGACAATAAAATTTGAATAAGGACTACAGACTGAAATATTGTGTTAATATTGTCCTAGTATTAATTTCTAGATTTTCATAACTATCTGTGATTATGTAAGAAAATGTCTCTGTTTTGGGAGCACCAGGGTGACTCAGGCGGTTAAGTGTCTGACTCTTGATTTCAGCTCAAGTCATGATTCACAGTCATGAAATCTAGGCTAGCAACAGGCTCCACACTGGGCATGGAGCCTGCTTAAGATTCTCTCTCCCTCTCCCTTTGCCCCTCCCCCTCACCCATGTGCATGCTCTCTCTCTCCAAATGAATGTTACTATTTTTAAGAAACACATGCTGGGGGCACCTGGATGGCTCAGTCGGTTAAGCCCCTAACTTCAGCTTGGGTCATGATCTCGAGGTCTGTGGGTTCAAGCCGTGTCGGGCTCTGTGCCGACAGCTCAGAGCCCGGAGCCTGCTTTGGATTCTGTGTCTCCCTCTCTCTGCCCCTCCCCCACTCACGCTTGCTCTCTTTCTCTCAAAAATAAACATCAAAAAAAAAAAAAAAGACATGCTAAAGTATATACAGATTATAAAAGCTGTGGACAGGGTGCTGAAGAAGTGTATGAGAGGGACAACTAAACAAGCTTGGGACACGATGGAGAAGTTCCCACAGGAACAGCTAACTTAACGGCTTTACTTTTCTATCACTATTGTAACAAATTACCACAAACTTGATGGCTCCAAACAACCTAAATTTATTATCTTAAGTTTTGGAGATCAGAAGTCCAAAATGGGACTAAAATCAAGATGATATAAGGGCTGTGTTCCTTCTGGGGGCTTAGGGCAGAGTCCATATCCTTGCGTTTCTAATCCCTAGGGATCAGTCACTTTCATTGGCACTTGGCTCCAGACTTCCATCTTCAAAGTCAGCAATGGCTGGTTGACTCTTTCTCAAGTTGAATCACACTGACACTAACTCATCTTTTGTCTCCCGCTTTCAATTTTAAGGATGATGATTACTTTGAGCCCATCTTGAGGTCAGATGGTTACAATCTGAGTTCCATTTAGAATCTCAATTTCCCATTTGCCATGTAACAATCGAGTTGTAGGTTCCAGGGATTAAGGTGTGGACATCTTTTGTTGGCCATTATTCTGCCCATCACAAAAAGCCTAGTTTTCCTTCAGTAGCAGGTATGATACTGTTACTTATTACAAAAAAAAAATGAGTAATATTGGCTTAGCAGTTAAGGAATGTATATGGTTTATGTAACTGTAAGTGCAAAAGAAGGAGCTGGACTTTCGATAGGCTTGATAATTTCAAATGACTGGTTTCTGCCAATCTCTTTACTCTGCTGTTTTCAGCACTGATGTCACCCCTCTCATGATCCCAACATGGTAGTTAATAGATCTCATAGATACAAAATCATTCCTTCATATCAGTAGTAGAGAGGGTGTTTTTGTCCCAGAAACTTGAGCACACATCCAAAGGTTCACTTTGGTTGGATCAGATTAGAATTCACTGCACCTTCCACTGCACCAATTCTGTGGCCAGAGGAATGGGAAATGGTAATTGGCTTAGGCTTGGTCCCAGGTCCCAGAGATAGAATCAGTTTCCCCAGAACAAACAGGATCCCAAATGGAAAATTCTTGAGAAGAGAATAAGGAGGAAAGGACTGAGGGGGATAGCCAACAACTGTCCATCCTATCTTCACATACCAATCTCATATCCAGGATTATAATCTTTTATTAATTGAATTATGAATAACCTAGAATATTTTAGAAGTGCTGAATTTCACCCAATCACATCAAGTAAAGCAACGCAAATTAAAGGAAATATATGGACACTGGTGTCATATTGTTACTGAACTGCAATCAGGCACCGTCGTCTGCTCCGCTCTAACGCTAGCTCAGTCTTCTATATTAATGAGGAAACAAGAAGTCTCCAGTTGGTTCTTGAATGCAACAAGGGGACAGATGGACAATTTTGCTTAACATAAACATATTTCTGCCTTATTTTCCACAGCAAATATTTTGTCTGAATTGAATTTTTAAAAAAAATTTTTAATGTTTATTTATCTTTGAGAGAGAAAGAGAGAGAGCAGAGAGAGAGGGAGACACAGAATCTGAAGCAGGCTCCAGGCTCTGAGCTGTCAGCTCAGAGCCTGACACAGGGCTCAAACTCATGAACTATGAGATCATGACCTGAGCCGAAGTCGGAAGCTTAACCGACTAAGCCACCCAGGCGCCCCAGTCTGAAGTGAATTTTTAACTTCAA